CTTAAAAAGATGAATACAGGAGGGCCGATGTATAAAATTAAAGATTCACCTTGATATAGATATTTTCTGCAGCTTTTTCCTCCTCGCTGAGCACCTTTCCACTAGAGAACCTGCGAGACACAAACCTCAAAGCATTCCTTGCTGCCATGGAGCCTTTTCCTTGATACCAATTTTCTGTAAATGAAAGAGTTCAAGAATAACTTAACAATAAGCGAGCCAAGTTTAAATACGGAGTAACATAATTATGGGACAGGGGGCAGTAGAAATCTAGAGGATGCTAGTACCCAAACTAATTATTTATGGAATGCAAGGCAAAATATTCTTTCTGGAATCAGTAAGATCAACAATGACAACAAAAATGACCCGCCCCTACTAAATTTATATAAATCACTATTTACAGCATTACATTCCCTATCAATCCACTATTTAGTATACTTTCAAACAAAATCACTATTTAGTATTTACTGCAAATGCTAAGAATATAGGTCTAGGCATTCGTCACTATTCATATGTAGATAAGTTTCTAGAAAAATAATCAGACACAATAAAATGATAACAGACACATGATCAAGGAGAGATACAGAGTAATTCCAGTAGCAAAATGATTTTGCAGAGACTTGAGTATTGGTGATTGCTTCATATGCCCAGTAATAAAAGAATACAGGTACTGTCAATAAATCCAATTTTGGCCTTATTTTAAATATTTCATTAATAAATTTAACGGGATCTGGAAAACTCTACAAAAAAAACAGATTCTGAAACAAAAAACAAGGAACAAAAAAAAGGTGTGAGAGTCACCTTAACTGTGCAGCATTGAAAATTAAAATATCCCTTGAATACTGAAGGATCATTTAGCCAAAAGGACTGAATCATCTTAATAAACACAGAGAATCACGCACAAAAAATTGCAGGAGTGCAGATCACACAAAGTTTTCAGTTTCCTTAAGCTCAAAATTATGCATATACATCTGATAAATTATGACAAACATGCCCACAAAATACACAAATAATCACAGATGTATACACATCTCCAGATATGTCATTGAGAAGCCACACAAAATACAAATACAATTAGCATACAACCGCGCATAAGTTCGTGCTTGCACAACCGAAAATGAAAAACAACGAAAACGAATCGTAACACTTGAATCTATCAAATCATGACTTACGAATCAGTCAATTCATAACAATTGATTATACTAAATCATAACAACGGAAGATGAATATGTCAATCGGCTCGTCTGAAATTTTTAACAAATCGTTTAAAATCATTTCATTACGGAGAATAAAGTGTCGGAGTTCCTCCGAATCATAGCCAGAAATGTTTAAACAAAATCCTAGGACTAGTGCAGTCAATCTGAACATGAAAGCAGCAATGCGGATGTGGAGTGCTTACCAGGAGCTTTCCTGTGGAAGAGAAGAATCCAGATGGAGCTCCTCTATTTTGATGTTCTACAGAAATGACGATTTTAATCTGGGCTTTCTTTTTATACAGCAAAATTATTCTTCCTCTTGGGTGATGGGCCAAGCCCGGTTTTACGAGCAAAGTGCTATGGTGGACCTAACTCACCTAAGGTCCAAACAATTGTGGTGTACCTTCTCATATGACTTTTTTTTTCATTTTTTATACTTTAAGAAAAATAAGTATAAAAAAATAAAAGAAACTACCTTAGGCTCACCGGAAAATTTGCCTTCTCATCTAAGCAATAAGCAAATACTACTTTTTTTACCTTCTCGTTTAAGCAATAAGTAAATGTTTATCTCGCTAACCTCCTTAGACCCACGGTAAAATTTGCCTTACGGAATAATGTCTAAGAAATTAATTTTTTTGCAAGTGATTGATAAACAGAAAAGAAAAGAGTAACAGAAAAGAAAAGAGTTTGCAAAAATGAAATGGAATGAACTCCCCAAATAAGAGTCTTTGACAAAGGAAATAGGAAGGAAAGAAGTGTAGTACGGTAGAAGTTTAATTTCTAATGGTTTCTTTACACTATGTTTGGTTCAAGGAATTCAAAAGGGCAAAGAAAAGAAAATGAAATGGAAAACAAGTTTTCTTATTTGGTTAGAAAGGAAAAGTGGAAGGAAAAGAAAATGAGAATGCAAAATGTGCCAAGTGGAAAGAAAACCAAATTCCTCCCATTTTGGAGAGGAAAATGAGATAAAATCATTTTCTTTTCTTTTCCTTCAAAATTTCTTGAACCAAACATAGTGTTAAGGTCCTTTTGGAAAGGGGGAAAATGAGAAAAATAATTTTTAAAAAATGACTTCTTGAAAACAAGATATTTTCCTGAAATCATTTTCCTTTCTTGTGTAGTTTGGATTAGGGCTGGACACGGTACCGGTTCAGTACCGTCACCGGAAACGGTACCGCCGGTACCGAGAACCGTAACGGCAACCGGGACGGCGAAACGGTTCCGAGAACCGGCACCGGTACCGCCACATCCGGTCTCGGTTCCGGTGCCCCAAAATCGGTACCGGCACCGGTTCCGGTACCGGTTTAATTTTTTTTTTTCTCCCTCTCCAACGGTAACCTGCATTTACCTGCAAAAAACATAGTTAGTGGGGGGGGGGGCCAAACGGCTAAATCATGGGGAGGGGGGAGGGGGGTAATTTTTTCCTATAAATACTCATTTTTTCTTCTAAATTCTAAAAAAATCACACTCATCAATCCATATCCATCTCTCTTACTCTCTAATCTCTATTCTCTCATTCTCTCAAATTTCAATATCTCAATCTATCATTTTAATTTCTCAATCTTAATATCTTATTATCTCTTTTATACGGAGTACATTTTTTTAAATATATCATATTTTAATATAAAAAATTTCGAAATTATTTGAAATTTTCGAAATTTAATATTTCTTTAATATCAAAAAATATATAATATATATTTTAAATATATTCTCTTTTTTTTTTGAAATTTTCGAAATTTTTATATATAAAATTTCGAATTTTTTTTAAAGTTTCGAAATTTAATATATTATTTTTTTATATCAAAATATATATATATTAAAATGTCGAGAGAGTCCGGTAGAAGGTCCGTGGATATGGGCGCCGTGAACCGAAGTTCGAGTAGAGGCAAAGCAAAAGTCACCTCCGACGGTTCGACCTCACGCGTTTCTCGA